TAACGTTAACGTTAAACTTAACTAACGTAATAATTACTTAATTAAATTAAAGGTAAACGTTAACGTACGTACTTTACTTACGTTACGTTACGTACGTAACTTACGTTAGTTAGTATAATAACTACTCTCTCTCTCTCTCTCTCTCTCTCTCTCTCTCTCTCTCTCTCTCTCATTCATGCCCATGCATCCCACAGTTCTAATAATTCAGCACTTCACTAAAACTTTGTAACTCAAGTCCCAATAAAGCAAAAAGAGCTCACCAAATTTCACATGTAAAAATAGAATACAGTTAATTTCCAATTACCAACTAGAGATCCAATATGACAAGCATACTTATATCACCATGTATAAGTAGTAATTCCAAGCATACAACACAGAACTATTGCATCACGTAGACCAAATTACACGTTATACATAGATCGATCAAAATACAACAATAGGGAAAGAAAAAAAATCAAGAACAGACAGAGAAAAGAGAGGGCACACTAAAATCCAATGGACTGGCAAAAACCATAATCCAATGAAGTTATCATCATACAATGAAATGATGGGCATTGATGGAAGGACAATTGGCCCCAATGCTGGGATCATTCCATGCTCTGGTGGCCCCATTGACTCCCCATAATTGTCAACCACTTCAAAGGACGGCGATGAACCAAATTGACCATGTTCTTCCAGAGTCCATTTGATTATGGTATATTTCATATGCACTTCTTGTACCAGCACATATGACAACCAAGACAAATAACACTAAAAATAACAAGAATAACTACCTGCATATTTTTGTATTCTTTGTGGCGCACAGCCATAATCAGCCCGTCTTCAGTCCATGCTATAATCTCAAGTTTGTCTCTTGGAAAGCTGTCATGTTCTATAACAAGGCTGTGGTATCTGGCAGCAGTGAAGGGACTGTGCAAAAAAGTAGACAACAAGGATAGGTTCATACGCATGTCAGCGTGACTTTGATGAATGAGAAACTACATGCCACGCACTTAAGCTATACCAGTAGTGATTCTTATTTGCTTTTGAAACTAAAGCTTCACTAGGACAAAAAACTACAGCCAAAATATATTCTCACCTTTTCTCCTGATAACTTATTATATCATGATTACTTTCTTTGTAGGTTGCTAATGCTCCTTCTCACTCTTACACTAGAGAACATGTCCCTCCCTCCCTCCACAAACATACACAAGTAGGCAAGAATTGCTATGCCCAGTGCATCACTGGAGTGCAATTATGATAGTAAATACATTTTTCTTGGGGGTAAGTCAGCAATAGGAATCGAACCCAAAATGATAGTAAATAAGTTTATGAAATATGAAAAACACTATATATTAATTATCTTAATAGATACGCTAATGAAGAAGGAAATTTGTATTCTTTATAATATAGACAAATAGATAAAGAGAAATGAGGCCTTTATAATATAGACAAATAGATAAAGAGAAATGATGACCGTCAAGGAAATATACCATACTTATATAGAATAATAAAGAGATATAGGAAATAGGGATAAATGAAGTCTCAATGGATATCCTAAATAGAAACATGGCCAAATTGTGTTTCTTTTTCTTTCATACACTACACTTTCTATTTTGTTTCTTTACCCTATATTTTTGGATAAGCTGAATGGCTAGTTTTCATTAGTAAACTTGCTCCCTCTCTTGTCTTTTCTAAATTGTTTCTTTTTCTTTCATACACTACACTTTCTCTTTTGTTTCTTTACCCTATATTTTTGGATAAGCTGAATGGCTAGTTTTCATTAGTAAACTTGCTCCCTCTCTTGTCTTTTCTAAATTGTTTGCCTTAGCTCAAACAAGGTAGAGAGACATTTAAAGAAGGCTTTGGAAAAATAAATAGAAAGTTGACATGTGGCTTTCTAGAAATGCTAGATGTTACCCTAATGTCAGACTGTTAACTAAGCCATATTTCAAAATGAAGTGCTTTTGGCTAAAGGCCCCAACTATTCCAATATCAAAAAAAACTTCACTTTTACTATTTGTTCCGAAGGTGCATGTACTGTAACAATAGTGGCAATTGGCAAACTTACTTTGGCAAACCTGAAAGCAAACCGGCTTCTCCTTTTTCATCATAATAAACTAGAGAACTCTTTCCATGCATGACACCATATGGAGAGCGTACAATCTTTCCTGTAGAATGAGAAAAATAGTCTTTTATTAATGAGCGTTCACATTATTAATATTTCTATGTTTATCTGTAACTTTGATGGTGAGGCCCTTTACATAGATATTCAATCAAGCATATCATTTTCAATGAAAAAAATGGACAAGAGGTATTTACTCTTAAATCATTGTATTCTTCTTTTTTTTTCTTTTTTTCATTTTTTTTTGTGAGGGGTTGTGGGGAAAGTTCTAATGGTATGGTTCAAACTTGGGAAGGAATCTTGCAATCCTCAACACCTCAACCAATCAAGCCCAAGCATGAGTCCTACTTACTCTTGAACATAGATACTATGATTGCCCCTTGTGGTTGGTCGGTCCGCTCACATGAATCTAGAGTGGGAACCATGTAGGATCACCACTTCACAATTCATGGGATAACGGTTCCATTGCCCATGAGAAACTCTTGTCAATAACATGGTGAATGCATTGGGAATTATTTTTATAAGGGAGAATAGGGCGTAATTATTAATTATTTAAATTGTTGCACATTGAAATCACATATATATACTTGCATAAAGAGTATCTAGTTGCCAAAATAGAAGGAGATTTTAGTTGATATCAATGCAAGCTAAAAATATTAAGCAGATTAAAGGCAAGTTATCTCAGTTCAGTACTAACTAAATAAAGGGAGTTTTATTGCATATATAAGTTGTCAACAAAAGATACATACAATACAAGGTAATATATTAATGATTCAATGTCATGAATAGGCAGTGGAAATGCAGGAGTTTTCCATTGATTTTTTACAACTTACATAAAAAACAAATAAATATATTTTGAGATTCAAATTTAATACTAAGATGTGCATGTATTTGCTTCCTTTGGACTCAATAATGCATGTAAGTATTGCATATTAAATTTTTTTTATAATTGAAAAATGTCTTATTATGTTCAAAAAAATAAATCATTTCAGAATAATAGTATTTGCACTTAATATATTGAACACCCAATTAATTTTGCATAAGTTCCTAATAAAAAAGAGACAATTTTCCCACAAAAGAAAAAAAGAAAAATGGCCTAATGATAATTTTTTGACAAAATTCAAGATCGTTAATATATTGTTAACAAAATTTGCTACTAAGCAAGTTGTATAACCCAAGAAATTGAGAGCAGTGCTCGTGCAGAACCTGGCCTTTTGCTTGGTGTTGCTTGTTGATTCATATAACGAATAAGGAGATCTAGTGACGAATTTACTGACAAAGTTCAAGTTTAATATCTTTGTTTTCATGTTTCCAATAGGATGAGGTTTCAATTTTTTTTTTTTTAGTTCCATGAATTAAAGTTTAGTTTCCTATTTAATCGTTGATTCATATAACGAATAAGGAGAACTAGTGACAAATTTACTGACAAAGTTCAAGTTTCATATCTTTGTTTTCAAGTTTCCAATAGGATGAGGTTTCAAAAAAACAAAATTTCCATGAAAAATTAAAGTTTAGTTTCTTATTTAATCATTTGCGTTTAGTTTCCTTTTATATAATAGGAGCTTAGGTATCCTAAATATAAAGGTTCCCTAGTTCCCTAATTTTGAAAGTAGATTGGTAGAATATATGTGGCAAGTCTAGGTTTGCTCGAAGTCCAAGCCAAGCTAGAATGCACTATACTTCACGTATTGGACCATAGGCCATGCAATGAATTTTGATAATTTAATAAAGAGTAACTTCTTTTAGCTTTGCCGGTTGACTCAATCAATGAGGACCTGATTCCTCAACCCCATCATGTGGTGCTGATTCCTCAAGAAACCAAATCATGCATCATTAGTAGTGGACCAGTAGCCCACCCAGCTGCCATTTATGGACCTAGGACAGAGCTATCCCTTGTGTCGCTCGTTCTCTAAGTTTTGCTGTAACTCTAATCCATGGCTTGCACCAAGTAAACAGCTCGCAAGGTGGAAAAACTCCTAGGAAGCAGCTCGCCACTAAACAGCTCATAAATCAACTCCTATAACTGGTGATAGGTAGAAATCTCACAAGTTCAAGCCCGGGACCGTTGCCCTCTTCAAACCGTCTTCAAATTCATTGTTTTTCTATCTTCTCTTGGAATCCAGAGCAAGTTCTGAAAGCCTTTTAACCAAACACATTATCCCACCAGACCCTGGTTTGGTATATTATTACAAGCAACTGCGTCCTCAGTTTCTTTGGTGTAGGACATCCTGGTTCAAAGTCCCACCATCTACTTTTTCCACAGCTATATTTCTTTTCTCGATGAACCAACTACTGATTTTTCTATGGCTTCGATTTTATAGGCACTATCAGCCTTTTCCCTATAACCTTGAATTAGGACGGCGTTCCAGGCATTTCTTAGTCAAGAAAGTACATTCCTCTCTATTTTTTGGCCTCTTTCCTCGTTCAAATCAATTGGGTCTTAGACATTTTTCTCCTCTATTATTTTCCTTTGATTTAAAAACCCAACCTCTGGTTTTTCAATGGATTCAATTCTATCACATCAATGTTGTTTTCTCTGCCTATAGGTTCAACATGTCCATACCACTGGCCCTTATTATCTCTGGGAACTACAATTTTTTATGAGCTTTCAAGTCTATCTTGGTGAAGAAAAATCCCCAATCCTTCAACTTTTGAGCTGTTTCATCATCCAAGGAAATTGGGTCTTTGACATTTCTGCTATGTCCATTAAAAAGCCATGCATAGGCATTTGTTTGTGCTGATTCCTTTCTTAGGAGAATGGAGTCTAAAAACCCATGCATAGGCATTTATTTGTGCTGCCATTTTTTTCACTGAAATTAAATATGAAAGCTGAATCAATGATTGTCATATCAATTGTGGCCCTCTTTGAGTTCTTTGACAATGTGTAGTTTTAGGTTTCTAGGCTAGGTTCGCCATTCCTCTTTGCATGGAAGAGATTCGGGTTAAAATTTACTGAGATCCATTTGCCATTCCATGCAAGGTTTTCTGATTGGGGCCAGAAAGACAGCATAAACACGACATTGATTGATCCATGCTCTCTCTCTCTCTC